CACACTTAATTTAACAAAAAACGTTCAAAACAAACTTCTCGCTTCCATTGTTACGACTTCGATTGACCTGTTAAATATTACAATTCATCACGTGATGTCCACCTGAGAGTGTACTTGTGGAAACAGTTACCGGTACATTTATTCTTCAACCTGACCTCGATGTAAATCACTTTATTTGGTTGCTGTTTTCAGAATTAAGCACTTTAAATGTTGTTTTAATTTTGCGTGTCCTCACATTTAAGGGGAAGAAGGACCTTTAGCTGAAAAAATACCTGTTGTTCAATTTTTTTCATATTTTGTAGATCTCTAATATAGTATGTCCTACATACTTAAAAGCATATATATCAATAGGTTTCTAGACTTATTTTTGAGATATTGAGTGACAAATACTATACCCCACAGTGTCTAAGTGGAGTTTTAATTCTCAATGTTTCTGGGCCCATCACTCGGTCGATACTTGATTTTTTTTTTCAGCATAGATAAAAAATATGCTAGCGAACATGTCTTTCAGTTCAGAGTATGGATAAGGTTAACAATTCAAAAAAGCAATATTCTTTTGTCACACCGCATCTGAGAGACGGCAAATTACATACACTTGAAGACAACTTAAACAAAAAAAAAATTAATCTGCAAAAAATCCTATCATTCAATATTTGATAATTTACATTGAAATACAAGATCGTCATGTTATTGATTAGCTGTAAAAATATTGATTGGTGAAGCTGAGCTCAATATTGCACAGGACAAAGTTAAACAGGACATGAGCTTGAGAAAAACCCGTCATGTTTACATTTGTGGAGTACGGGAAAATCCAACTATGACGTCACACTTTTGCGAAATAAGCGAAATAAGACATACCTACAAAATATTTCCGTCAACAACCATGTAAAAATATTTTTTTGTGCTCTCTAATTCACAAAATACCCCAACATGTACTGATCATGACCCGTTTTTATGATAACACTATCCGCGTTTTAGCGTGTATAATCTTATTGTACTAAGAGATCCACTGTGACATCAACTTCGATGTCAACAACTCGTTGGACACGCAGTGTAGGGAAACAGAAGAGTGGATCAATCTATTCCGTAATTTGATAATATTTGCAAGAAAGTTTGTATGTTTTTAGATATTTTTATACAAGATGGTGAACTCAAACAAACAGTCAAAAAATTATACAAGTACTGTTGTTTCAATCTTGTTTTGTACAAATTTTATCAGAGATTATGACGTAATTAAACTGAGACATGTGACCAAACATCCTTCGTCCCCTTAAACAAAAATCATAATGACATGGCTGTAATATGCCATATATATGACATATTCGAATTTCTAGAGAGAGATATGGAGAGAGAGAAATGTCAACAATGACACCGAACGATAGCCCCGCCTCCTATTAATATTGATAGCATGACCTAAAAACCACTCCGGGTACATGTTTAATTCCGGAAGACGACACTAATGTATCGTTGCTTCAATTCTGATTCAAAGCAACAAGGCATTGCTTTTGTACATATGTTCTAGCTAAAATAACTATGTATACGTTGCTCTTTCTATTGCTTGTAATATATTTTGGATTCACTTTATTTTCAACTTGTTAGAGTAGTCACAAAAAAGATCCAAAATAGGGTGTTAAGTCCACCCATTCTTTGTTCAAATCATAACCCCCAAGGGTAGGGTGGGGCCACAATGGTGGATCAAAGTTTTATATAGAAAAATAAAGGGTAAAATGCCAAGAACAGAAAAGCTATGTTTAGTCATATTGGCGAGTAAGCATCCTCATGTACTGAACATTTAAATTTGTTCAAATCATGGCCCTTCAGGATAGGGAGGAAAACAATGGCAAATCAAATACAAATTATTGCAAAATAATAAAAAAGAACAAATTTTTTAAAAAGAAATCTTTTTATCAATAACAGCAAAGTCATATGCTGTATTGATATGAAGGCATCCTCAAATAGTATTGAAATTGAAGCCCCCCCCCCCCTTCACCTCAGTAAACTTTCAGTTCTGATCTGATATGTGTTTTTTCCTAGCCAGTGTGCTCAGGTGAGTGATGTGGCCCCTGGGCCTCTTGTTCAAGACTTTGACCTTTTTTTCCTTTTTTATCTGCTTCCAGTAAAAATGTCGACATCTTAGTACACTGTAAGTGTAATCTGTGTCCGCAGTAGTTCTGTCAACTTAATCATGATGGTTTGAGTTGTCTCTCTTTGTTTCCATTAAAATGACGACGGGCATTTGGTGCGCAACAATAATTATACTAGACATTAATTGAGTCAGGATTAAATATGGGCATGTGATATATAAAGGTATTTGAATAAATAAACATATCTTCATTTAATGAATCGACACTTGTTATCACAGGAACAATTTTGTTTTTAATTCTACATCGGGTCGACATGTACTGGTAACGGTATTTGTATGTAAACGCATTCAAAATGCTAAAACATTGATGTGGAACTTCACCTCCTAGGATTTTAATTTTCACAGACATGCTCAATTTGTAAAAATTAAACGTGTAAAAAATTAAATCACCCTATTTCACCCGAAATTTGTAAAGATTTACAGCAGTAAAAATTACCCGTTATCAGACCTGCCTACCCTTTTCATTGCAAGGGTGTAATTTCAGTACATTTTTGGTGGAACAGATGTAAAAGCGTAATCAATCATTTTTTTCTATTTTTCTTTTTTTACTATAATACTTTTTTTTTTTTTTTTTTTTTTTTTCGAAACAACTGAAATTATACATTACTAAACAGAGCTGGAATAAACATTTCTTAATTTTTTGAATCATTTGTTGGCAAAAAAGTGTTGTAAAATTCCAGTATCCTATATCCAACTCAATTCACCCTTAGTGGAGCATTTGATCAATTTGTTTCAAATCACTTAATTGAAGGCTTGCATTTGAATGTTAAAACAAATCTTATATTTTAACTTTATGTTTTATCTTTTTAACACTCACATTTATCTATCTCGTTCTAAGCAATGTTAAAATAAACTTAACTGAGCATAGAAATGGCTGTATGTTTTTCAATATCATTTAATAGTTAGCGTAAGTAGTCGTTTTCTTCCAAATCTTTGCCATACCAGTTTACATGTAACTAGTGGGTATATTACGTACATTATCGAACTGGTCCTCTTTGAATTACTTTTATAAGAACTCACTCATTTCATTTCAGCATGTCTTATTTTAACTCTAGATTTAGATGTTCATAATGGAATTTTAACCAAAATATCAAAAGCGTAAAACTAATTTAAGTGGCGTAATAGCTTAATTTTATGGTAAAAAGAGGAAGAATTATGCCAAAAGCGGAAGGGTAGACACGTCTGCGTTATACAGTATTTATTTGTATTTATTTTAAACTATCGGGCCTTGGCTTGGCACAGCATCACATTTTTTGCGCAGTAGTATGATGACGTCATTAACGTTGATTGTTTTCTGCATCATCGGACTTTGGTGTGTCAAACTTTGATATTTCTGTGGTGATATATCCCATATCACATATGCGATAATACTTTCCACGCCCCTTCATATATCACTGCTGGAGGCAGAAATCAGGTCACAAGAAATCACTGATTTTATTTCACAAGTTCATAACTACAGAAAAATGAACATATTTAGCTATTTCTTAGCCTTTAACAAAATTAAAATACATGTATTTAACTCAGTTGAAAGTTCCCAGTCATTCAAAAGATTAATCCATTTTGAAATTACAGTAAAATCTCCAAACTTTATATCGTAAAACTCCTTGATATTTGTTTCTGTGATTTCATATATGTCGAGTGCCTGGCTCAAAGATAAATTGTCAAAATCTTCAAACTCAGTTAAAAAGTCAAATTCACTAAGAACATCAGACATCTTGGAGAGCTAGCTTGAAATGAATCTTAAGTTCATGACAGGCTGAATATTTTTAAATTGAATTTTGACACTCTCAATGAAATTTACTTCATCAGATATGTGACAAGTCACCTTCATCAAAGATGCCTCGTACTATTAGTTATATCGTTTTCATGGGGCGTGGAAATCTCTGGCGCTCTGTGCCCTCGATTTCCACACCCCATGAAAACGATATAATCAATACTACTCGGCTTCTATGATGTAACCTATACATATTTCATGTGTAATGAATTATCTCCCTTGACAATCATTGTATTTTTATGCCTAAATATTTACAATTGTTATATTGTTAATATTGCAGGGTTATTTTTCTTTCCCTCATTTGAATGGCTAATAAAGTAAGGAACGGTCTTGTCACAATATACCGTGGTATGCACATGTGAAGTAGGAAAGCCCTTGCATCAAACTGTTCAGGCCAAGGTTATAGTTTAATTGCTAATTTTTTGCAAATTGGGCCAAAGTTCAAAAATTTTTTATTTTTGCTTTAGTTCAATGAGTGTATTACATGTAAGGGTTGTCCCGTAAAATCGAAAGGTGTTGTCACATAAGATTGCACATCTTGTTACGGCGCAGAACAAGGTTTTATTTAAGAATACACAAGTTTGAATTCAAAATAAAAGTTTTAAAACAGGCAGTTAAAAATAAGGCATTTGGTTTCATCAAAAATAAACACAACACACAAGCCTGTTACGGCGCACCGGAGAGACAGTTCGTTTTAATTTAATGTTGTAATCAATTTCAGAAGAAAAAAGATTATAAAAATATTTCATAATTTTTTTTATTTTTGCTTTATTTTATTTGAGACTATCTGACCATGAAAATTTCATTCTTGTGTATAATTACATGTATTATAGCAAAGATAAAACGTGACGCTGGGACACTTTGTTATAATCCATGCGCCGTAAGGTGATACTGACATAAAATAACATAATTTGTTCATTTATATATTTTTGAAATTTGCTGTGTATATTACTAAAATGACCTTTTGAAAATTTGACCTTGACCTCACTTATCTTATTAACAATTTATGACAATATTGAACACTTTACAAGTTACAGAGAAATTGTTACTTAACAATCATTAAAAGAAGTTTAATTATCTCACCTTCAGGACTTGAGATGGCTTTGCAGACCTATAAAACATATTCCATTGTATATACAAAGGTATATATCTTATTTTAGTGTGCATCATCTGCAGCATTGTGTAACTGAATGCCATCACTTTGAATGGGTTCAAAGTTCTTCTGAGTCTAGATTTTTTACTTTCACTCCAGCCATACAGCACACTACTGACTGAAGTGAAGATGTAAGGTACTGCTACAGACGTCCCCGCCACAATCAGAAAGCTTTTCAATATGCTCTTCAACATGTTTCCTGTGAAAAAAAGACATAGATGAGTTCATTTTTACTTTGATATTTGATTCACAAAATCTGATAATGTTGATAGTGTAATATGTGCAATTTTTGTAGAATTAAATCAAAATTTAGAGGACCTTTGAATACACTGTATTATAATTCAGCTCCTAAAAATATGGAAAAGTTTCACCATTCTAACTTACACCATACTGGTAAAATATTTCAAAGTTTAATTATTTAGTTTCCCACTTAATTTTTTTTTCTCTAGTAGTGGATGAATCAATATAACTATGCTGGTTGACTGATTCACTTCTTGGATAAAACCCAGATGTTGGATAAGAATGGAGATGCCCAAAAAGAAGCCTGAAGAAAGAAAGGGGACATAAGGAATTAAAAATTATTTATTTTTAGACTATCATTAAATTTTTACTCCTTTTTAGCTCACCTGAGCCGAAGGCTCAAGTGAGCTTTTCTAATCACATTTTGTCCGGCGTCCATCTGTCTGTCTGTAAACTTTTCACTTTTTTGACTTCTTCTCAAAAAACGCTGGACCAAATACAACTAAACTTGCCACAAAGCATCCTTGGGTGAAAGGGATTCAAATTTGTTCAAATGAAGGGCCACGCCCTCATTCAAGAGGAGATAATTGGGAATTAGTGAAAAGAACAAGGTTCACTTTTGCCTTATTTGGCCTTGTGAATTTCTGAAAAACTGAAGCTGCACAGTTTTAGTTAACAATGCATTAAAATATCACTTAGATCTTTGGTGACTGCGATTCTATAAAAAATGACGTCATTTTCTGGCTAGTCAACATTATGACATCAAGAAATGCGTCAATCATATTCAGAAAAAGTCTATAAAAACGGCCAATTTTTAAAGTTATTATTTGATATTTGATATAGAGCGCAACCTCTGATCTAAAATATGCAACTAGTAAATGATAGAACTGTTTCTGAGGATTCATGGACATGTTTTATTTTTTAGAAACGCTCATATTATTTTTCTTCACTGAAAGTACTCAATTATACCTGTTTACCTAAAATTTCAAGAACATTGCCATTTCATAAAGTCAGTTCTCCAATACATGGACTTTGAGGAGAAATTTTTTAAAAGGATATGAAAGGGATTCAAATTTGTTCAAAATGAAGGGCCATGCCCTCATTCAAGAGGAGATAATTGGGAATTAGTGAAAATTTGATGGCATGTTTTAAATCTTCTTCTCAAGAATTGCAAAGCCATAATTGATCATATTTATATGAAGCATTCCTAGGTTGTGTAGATTCAAGTTTGTTTAAATCATGACCCTCGGGGGTAGGGCAGGGCCACAATGGCAGATCAATGTTTTACATAGACATATATAGGAAAATTCTTTAAAAATCATCTTCTAAAGAATAGCAAAGCCATGATTGGTCATGGGACTACCTTTGGATTTAAACTTTTCAATAATAAACCTATTTCTACTTTTTCCTAGCCACAATGCTCAGGTGAGCAATGTGGCCCATGGACCTCTTGTTTTTAGTTTCAAATGGAAGATAGATTTTTTATACATATATCATTCACAAATTATAAAACTATGAAGGAAACTGCATTGCAGCTCAAAGTAAAGACTGGTTAAAGCCTTTATCACTGATGAAATTTACTCGTAACCAAAATAGTTCGTTCTGGAATCAAATTAAGTTGTAGCTACAAAACTATCGCTCTCTGAAAAAATATATATTGACAGACCGGAGAGCTACAGTGCCATCAATTGAAAAAACTGTATATTTATTGCGCACAAGAAAGTGTGCATTTCCTCGATTTATTTCTTCATGTTTTTAAAACTGTCATCACAAAATATTGCTAACCAAGTGTTCATATTCTTTCACTGTTTCCACAGCAAAACATTTCTTATAATTGTTTTTAATAGCCCTCCTGGCCCTGAAATTGAGATCATAAAAAAATTTGTCTATATACTGCCATTTGGGTTTGTAAGATATTTTGGTCCAACGCACTTCGTACAGATGTAAACTACAAGAGTACTTGATAAAGCAGAAAGGAATTTTGCTAAATCTGGCCTTTTTAGCAATTGAGGTAAGATTGGAAAAATTAATCCAGAACTGTGTGCACTTTTTTGTGTGCATTAAATACTGGTATACAGTTTTTTAATGGATGGTGCTGTAGCTCTCCAGTCTGTCAAAATATATTTTTTCAGAGAGCTACAGTTCTGCAGCAAATTAAGTTGTACACTGAATGGGATCAAATTTAAGATATTGAAACCAAGTATGGCAGTCAGACAGCTCCTACTGTTTTTGGCAAAAAGCTCAGTTAGTAGAGAGCTTGACTGGGGAATCAGGGGGCCTGGGTTTGAATCCCAGTCTGGTCCATCATGTTTTTCTTCTCTCATAATTGGTGCTGAGCCATACCCTAGAAGTGACATTGTGACAGGTGTAAGACCTGCTAGGGAATATCATGGGTTGATGTCTTCTAGGGCTGAAGAGCTCAAAAGAGCGAGGAGTGTAGTGAGTGAAATTCAATTAGACGGTCAGTGGTCAGATAGCTCATATGGTAGAGCAACTGACCAATCTAAGTAAAATTACACCTAGCTATCAACTCGCTCTTCATAATTTTATTTGTCATCATGATTCATGATTTCATAAATAAAATTATGAAGAGCGAGATAGATGCCTGGTCTAATTTTAATTATACAGCAAAACTTGGTTAAAACGAGGTCGCTGGGACATATGAAATTACTTCACTATATCCGTAATTCGTTATAACCATACAAGAAATTCATTAAATTTATAAAGCTGGGGATCCAAGAGGACTTCGCTATATCCGTGAATTCGCAATATCCGTGTTTTTACTGAGCGAGTTTTACTGTATAGATCAGATTGAGCACCTGGCCGGAGATTTTCTATATTAACTATGACACTATGTACTATAAGACCATGCTTTGAGATCTAACTTTGTATATATGTAAAATGAGATTAAACTTTTAGATCAATCTTTGAAACCAATTAATCCAACCTTGCTTCTCGAGTTGGAATATAAGTCGGATCTTGTAAACAGTGAAATCTGATTTTATATGTCAAGCTGATACCAAACTTTTCTCCCACTGGGATTGAACTCTGACCAGTAAGATAATTTGGTGAAGGTAGATGTCAAAGTATCATGCACATGTTTACATTGTTTAATGTTATGAAATGACTCGTCTACTTACATGTATCTTTTTTTAACAAATCATATGATTCACTGATGTTAACGATGGCCTTGACGACATAAGAAGGGCTGATACATTTGCATGAGTCGCTACTTCAAATTATCTTTAAAATTTAATTATGCAAAATCACTGTCATCTCAGGACAGGGTCATCCACACATGCAAACCCAACTGTATTAGATATGTTGCACGCCACGTCTTTCGTGTGACCTGTAATGTAATCCTGGTACGAATTGTCTAAAACCGATTCCCCTAAAAATGTCAAAACAATCAGGATGGACAGATTAAGCATAATTTCAAGCGCTTTATTCCTAACAGCGGATGTATTTGCTGTTGCAAGTCTGGCTATGCCAAGATGGATCGTTTCTGACATAGGAGGTTTGTGTATTAATCACGAAATTAAAAGAATTTCTAACCTTTCTTAATATTCTGCGTTGACAGATCCAGTACAATCACTAGATTTAGCTACTTAGGTAGAATTACCTACGTAGCTTTATTTACTTACCTCAGGTAGCTTTATTTAGCTATTCAAGGTAAGTTTTCAAAAGTTTTCTTTTTATTAAAAAGAGTTATGACTATTGATATTTATACCCCCCGCTTGAAAAGCGGGAGGGTATATAGTAATCGTTAATTCCGTCCGTCTGTACGGGCAAGCGGTATATCTAGTCTTCCCGACTCCCGACGCCCGACTCCCGACGGTCCCGGATTTGGGATTTTTAGCGATTTCTTTTTTACCGGTGCACAGATTTTATTCAAACTTTTCAGGCACATTTTTTGGGTTTATATAAATTCATTAGTGTATAAAAACTTTAGGTAACTTGTCTTTTTATTACTGAATCAGCAGTTTGCCAAAAAGCGGTAAAAAGTACTCTGTTATAAATGTTAAAACCAAAAAAGTAAAATCTCGATTAAAACAACAAAATGAAGAATATATTTTTTTAACAAATAATGAAAACTATACCCCCCGCTTGATATTTATACGTCCGTCCGGTCTGACGTCCGCTGTCCATCCGTCTGTTAAAACAACTCCTCTCATACCACTGAATGAAATTTGATGAAACTTTCACAGAATCTTTATTACATATTGCCATTGTGCACCTCCTATTTTACTTTTTGATCCGACACATATTTTTGGGTTTTCCGGCCACAGGAAAACATGGACTTTTTCACCAGTTATAACCATATGGGAGGCGGGGGGTATCATTTAGTGAGCTCATCGCTCACAGTACCTCTAGTTTAAATGCTAGATAATTTGTACGCACTGAAACTCACATATTTTATTTTTGTACGCACTGAAACTCACATATTTTATTTTTCTTTAATTAAGAGTTATGCTTATTAATTATCGATACATCATGTACATAGCGATGAGCGGAGACGTGAGGTTTCGTGGATCATAATATTGATATTATTTGGGAAGATATTTCTTCTTAAAAAGACAGAATTAGTGTTTCAGTGAAATTGAAGGTGATAGAAAAGTATGAACAATTTAATTTTATAGATTCCAGCATCAAAATGAATTCTAAAGTCGGGTTCCTTTTAAACCTGTTAATGAAGAAGATAATCACTTATTATAAAAGCTTAATTTATTAAAGCGGTGTTAGCTTGGGTAAAATAATTAATTTCCTAATCACCTGGCTGATACAATGAAAGTGGAGAGATATTCTGTCAAATTAAAAAAAAAATAATTATGTATTGTAAACTGCTTCTAAATCAAAGCTGTTAGCATGATTAGTATTAACCATGACTTGTTAACAGAACATGTAACTGGGGACAAACCATGGTCCTTAAAATATTACTGGTAATCTGAAAACGTTTTTGTCATTGTGTAGGTTTTCATACGATAAGTAGAATTTAGAGTTAACTTAAAATCAGTCAACAAAAAGTAAAGTCAAATAAAAATAAATTAATTAATAAAGGGGGGGGGGGGGGGGCTCCGACGTATATATGTCAATGTCGTACGTAGAGCCTGTGAACATAATGTGGCAATGAACGATTTATACACGGAAAAAAAGAAATTATATGGGTGTTTTTAGGCGAACAAAATATCTGGTATGTAAATGAGGTTTTCCGCTTATTTGTTGAAAAAATTATTATTCATTTTGTTGTTTTTAATCGCGATTCAACGAAAACATCGGTGTCCGTTTTTGGTTTTAACATTTATAACAGAGTACTAGATTTACCGCTTTTTGGCAGGTGAAACACAGTAAAAAACACTAAAGTTTTTATGCACCAATGAATTCATATAAACCCAGAAAATGTGCCTGAAAAGTTTGAATAAAATTTGTGCACCGGGAAATCCTAAAACTTCCAAAAAAATGATTACTGTTACGCTTTTGGGGTATAATATCTGAATGAAATTTGATGAAACTTTCACAGAATCTTTATTACATATTGCCATTGTAAACTTTTTGCTGACACATATTTTGGGTTTCCAGGCCACAGCAAAACATGGACTTTGCCATTATATAACTATATGGAGGTGGGGGGTATCACTTAGTGAGCTCATCGCTCACAGTACCTCTAGTTTGAGTGATAAATGGTGTCAAGTCTTTGAAACACTTTTATAACACATGTAAAATGATAAATGATTATTTATAATGATTTCAACTTAATTATTCTGTGGGAATCAAAAGACTATTGTAGTCTTTTTTGTGTGGATGTTTTTGTGCATATATGAACTATCATGCTAGAAATACTAGACAGTGTACATGCTAGTAGCATACATGTATAAAAAGCTGATCACTCTTAGATTTAGTTACATCTTTAAAAGAAGCTAAAAGCAGACACAACATTATAAGGGTAAAGTAGATAAAAATAGCTACTTTGGGGTACCCATCTCTTATCCTCAACTCCTCTTAAACCGCTGAGTGAAATTTAATGAAACTTTCACAGAATCTTTATTACATATTGCCATTGTGCACCTCCTATTTTATTTTTTGATCCGACAAATATTTTGGGTTTCCTGGCCACCGCAAAACATGGACTTTGCCATTATAATCATATGGGAGGCGGGGGGTATCATTTAGTGAGCTCATTGCTCACAGTACCTCTAGTTATACTAGGGAGGCTTAAAAAACAATCCAAAGCAGAGATAGTTTATACATTGCTGCATTTGGACAATTTAGAGCAAAACATGTAATTCCATTGTTTGGTTAACTGTTCTGTAACTGTCATACATCACATTGTGCTGAATAATTACCGACCTATTATCAACTTTCAGAACTTTGATTGCAATTGCATTTTGTGGCCAAATACAGGAACGGTGCAACATGGTGAGCACAACAGATACAGTAACACTGATGATTTTTAGCCAAAAAATTATTACTTCGTATAATATCAATTTTGCATAGAAACTAATGTAAACTTGCTGATTCAGGAAGCAATCATTTTTTGGCCAAAATTTTGTCGTATTCTTCATTAGTGTGACTGTATCAAAAGATATGGTATTCACCATGTTGGGGCATTTGGTCTTTGTGCCGCAAAATGCAGAAATTATAAAAAGTAGATAAAAATAGCTACTTTGGGTAGCTTTAAATACCTAGGTAGATATTAATAGCTACGTAGGTAGAAATAGTTTTTGGACTGCACCTGTTAACGGAATTGGACTTCTTTGTCATTTAATTTAAGGAGTAACTGTTCTAACTGTCATACATAGCCCCAAAACTTTCAGAACTTTGATTGCAATTGCACAGAAAAAGACATTTTCCAAGAGGGATTTTTAGCTCACCTGAGCTCTTGCGAGTTTTTCTGATCACATTTTGTCTGGCGGCCGTCTGTCCGTCCGTCTGTCTAGCTGTCCGCCTGTCTGTCTAAACTTTTCACATTTTCGACTTCTTCTCAAGAACCTCTGGGCCAATTTCAACCAAACTTGCCACAAAGTATCCTTGGGTGAAGTGAATTCAAGTTTGTTCAAATGAAGGGCCACGCCCTCATTCAAGGGGAGATAATTGGGAATTAATGAAAATTTGGTGCATATTTTAATCAAATTTTTAAAAATCTTCATGAATCACATTTATATTCAAGAAAAAATTATTTTAAAATCTATATAAATGATAAGACACTGTGCCAGGAAAGCTGAATGTAAACAAACAAAGTCTGGTTCCCTCTCCTGCTTATATGGAAAGCATGATTATCAAAAATCCTTAGTTAATGTAGACTTATAAAGTTTTCAAAGTCATTACTACTAATGTTTATTTTATATAGATAAAACTTCGTTTTATTTTTGTTGCTTTATTTAGCGTTTGTATTATCTCAAAAGCAGTTGAGAGTAAAAACTATATTTTTGCACGTAACTTTAAAATGGCAACTATGGGGTCAACATCCTGCCTTGAACAGGATCACATAAGCCGGCAATTGCTCTTTGAGCAATAAGCCCGGCTAAAAATCTTCTTCTCAAGAACCACTGTGCCAGGAAAGATATATAGGAAAATTCTAGTGTAGAAAATCTTTTCTCATGACCCCCGGGGGCAGGGCGGGGCCAAAACAAAGTTTTACATAGAAATATAGGAAAATTCTTTAAAAATCTTCTTCTCAAGAATATATATATGGAAGCATGCTCAGGTAGTGTTGATTCAAGTTTGTTCAAATCATGACCCCTCGGGGTAGGGCAGGGTTTTACATAGAAATATATAGGAAAATTCTTTAAAAATCTTCTTCCCAAGAATGACAAAGCCATAATCATCATAGTTATTACATAGAAATATATAGGAAAATTCTAGATATAAAAATCTTCTTCTCAAGAACCTGACAAAGCCATAATTCATCATATATATATGGAAGCATGCTGAGGTAGTGTTGATTCAAGTTTGTTCAAATCATGACCCCCGGGGGTAGGGAAGGGCCAAAATGGCCGACCAAAGTTTTACATAGAAATATATAGGAAAATTCTTTAAACATCTTCTTCTCAAGAATGACAAAGCCATAATTCATCATATTTATATGGAAGCATGCTCAAGTAGTGTAGATTCAAATTTGTTCAAATCATGACCCCCAGGGGTAGGGCGGGGCCAAAATGGCTGACCAAAGTTTTTAAAGATATATATAGGAAAATTCTTTAAAAATCATTTTCTAAAAAATAGCAAATCCATGATTGGTCATGGGACTACTTTTGGATTTAAACTTTACAATAAAAAGCCATTTTCTACTTTTTCCTACCCTTAGTGCTCAGGTGAGCGATGTGGCCCATGGGCCTCTTGTTTCATGAGTTGTTTTCAGATGAGTTCAAAGTTCAAAATGATCACTGCATCAAAATGATATTTTCTGCACACCCTGAGAAAAATGCTCTTTAATAGAAATAAATCAATTTGGTAGCTAAATAAAGGTACCTCAAGTTGGTAAATAAAGCTATGTAGGTAAATCAAGGGACATTTCAGTACATCGAAACTTACAGGTCCAGCACAATACCCTGATAAAAGTTTATAGTTTGATAAACTGAAAAGTCAAGTTCTGATTTGTTGTCAGTGTGTCACTCGTTCATGAAAAGCACTCTAGTATCAAAAAGACAGCATAAAAGAATGTCTCCTCACATGACATGCTTTTATACTGATTTCTTTGTGTTTTAGTACTTTTACATGCATGGGTGAATTTACTGACGACAACTCAGAACTCGACTTTTAGTATTTATTCTCTAAATACCTTTATCAGGGTATTGTGCTGGACCTGACAGGCTCGATCTAACAATTAGCCTAGGACCAAAGAGTTTAAGTTGATGACAGATTGTACCATATCAAAGATATATTTTTATAGCCCCCACTTGAAAAGTGGGAGGGTATATAGTAATCGGGATTTTCATCCATCTGTACATATCGTAATCATGGATATATAAATATCATAAGATAATATCGTAAGCATGGATTACTGTATTTATCTTATATTTATCTTTACGCTATCCTTGATTACGATATTTATCCATGATTACGATAGTTATCTCTGATTACTATATCCATGAGTAATCAGAGATAAATATTGTAATCATGGATAAATATCGTAATCATGGATAGTGAAAAGATAAATATAAGATAAATATCATAATTGTGGATATCTATCATAAGATAAATATCGTAATCATGGATAACGTAAAGATAAATATAAGATAAATATCATAATCGTGATTATCTATCATAAGATAAATATCGTAATCATGGATAAATATCGTAATCATGGATATCATAATCACAGATAAATATCGTAATCGTGGATATCTACTATAAGATAAATATCGTAATGGATAGTGAAAAGATAAATATAAGATAAATATCATAATTGTGGATATCTATCATAAGATTAATATCGTAATCATGGATAACGTAAAGATAAATATAAGATAAATATCATAATCGTGGATATCTATCGTAAGATAAATATCATAATCATGGATATCATAATCACAGGTAAATATCGTAATCATGGATATCATAATCACAGATAAATATCGTAATCATGGATAGCGTAAAGATATTATCTCGTAATCGTGGATATCTATCATAAGATAAATATCATAATCACAGATAAATATCATAATCGTGGATATCTATCATAAGATAAATATCGTAATCATGGATAAATATCATAATCATGGATATCATAATCACAGGTAAATATCGTAATCATGGATATCATAATCACAGATAAATATCGTAATCATGGATAGCGTAAAGATAAATATAAGATAAATATCGTAATCGTGGATATCTATCATAAGATAAATATCATAATCACAGATAAATATCGTAATCGTGGATATCTATCATAAGATAAAATCATAATATAAGATAAATATCGTAATCATGGATAAATACTGTAATCTGGGATAGGCTATCGTAATCTGGGATATCATAATCTAATCTAATATCATATTAATAGGCCATTGCTCACAGTACTTTCTTTTTAGGGTAATGTTGTTGTCCCTTTTTTTCAGTCAAAAAGATGGTAAGATGATCCTGTTAACATTTCTGTCATTTTTTCAGGTCGCACATACATTGGATTGCTGCAGTCATGTCTGGAGATTTACAGTGGTCAGCAAAGTGAAATGTGTTTCACCCCTGTTCCACAGAGAACAGAATGGCTTTTGACATTTGTTTGTATTATTTTGGGCATTCTTAGTGTCACTTCAACAATAGGACTGTTGATCCTTTCCCATTGGAGGTATCGAGTCATGAAACATGCCAGATGGCTGGGATTTGTGGCAAGCAAGTATTTTCTACTCTGTCCAGATTGGAAATGTTTCTGTTTTAATAATGAGATTAAAACACTTAATTTTGCATAATTACACAGAATTGATGCTTGTGAAAAATTTATATTTGTTTGGTCAGGCTATTTAAAAAAAATGTTTACCTTATTAGTAACATTAACATATCTGGCTAAAATGAGGTGTCACAAAATTGATCCGCAATACAAGTATATCATTTTGGATGTCATCTGACTTTGGCATTGCTTTTTTTTCAGTAATCCTGTTTTGCCTGGCTGCAGTCATTTTCCCTATTGGTTTCAACATGGAGCAGATAGGAGGAGAACCATACCAGCTTCCTAACAATTACCAAGTGGGCATCTCCTACATCTTCTTTGTCCTGGCTCTGTGGATAACTGTCGTTTCAGAACTGTTTGCGAGCAAAGTCTGTTTGCCACATTTTTAATGCTTTTTTTTTTGACAGAATTTGAAAATAAGAAATAGAATGCCAAGACACTAGCCATTAGAATTGTCAGAAATTTGGAGAATTTTTTTTTATAGACAAGACCTTTGAATAACCAGTATTTAGTTGCATCTTTATTATTAAAAATAAATCCTTGCACATACGGTAATTGTTAAGTATATGTATTGTCTCATTTGTTATAGGCACAGTTGTCCTTTGAAAGTTGTGCAATAGAAGTATGTTGTTACACTGTATTGTTAAAAATTGATCATAGATTTAGAGAATTATGCTTTAAAGTACATAACTGTATGAAACTTTTGTATTTAAAGTAGTTCTATACTCTCACTACGTCATTTACGAATAGTAAAACCGGAACTGCGCGTCCTTTTCCGAGATGAGAGTTTTTAACTATATTGGTTTGACTTTTACTTAGCGTTTTAAATATCCGGTAACAATTTTGCTCGAAGTCGGTCGCGTCAACAAACACATATTCTACAGTTTAAGGATAAAATAATTAAAAAGAAAAGGCTGGGAACAACTTTTGGTTGACAGAAATAATTAGGTAATAAAACGATATTTCTGTGAATGATGCATGTTTGATATGCCGCGTCGAAAACACGGACCATGTACATGCTACATCAGAACATGACTGTATCAAACTATCGAGGCGACTATTGTCGGCGGCCAAGTTGAATCTAATAGTGATAATTATGAAGAAAAGTAATGACTACGATTTGACTTAGAAAATTTATGGATTTTTCTAATCAAACATGACAAAATTTACATTAAATGATAATAATTGCATAAAACACATACCCCCTCCCCAACCTGCCTACCCACGAACCCCAATGCAAAATTATCTGTTGAATAAGTATTTGACAAAAGTTGATTCACTTGCAGCATACTTTGTTACTTTCTGTAACAAAATCATCCAGTTTCTGAGAATCAGTGAATTACTTTCATTTTCATCGTCTCCAATTTAAAGACAAGTGTGTTTATTTTTATTTTTCGCGTAAAATAAGATAAATTTTAGGGACAATAGGTTTTGGGTGTGTATAATTATTGTTTTAAATAATGTATAAGCTTGTTAATACAAGTATACACTCAAACATTAACAGTATTACAGAAATATGTGGCAATACATTACTTCTAGAAGAAAGAAAATAGGGGGGTACCTTTAGTGTAGAGCTCATACCACGAAAAGTAATGCGTCAACATATAATTTTTTTAAGCTTATTATTTTTCTTAATTATAATTTAGTAAAAATAATGAAAAATTAAGAAGTTTGAGTCCATAATTTTTTTTTTAAATGACCGAGATTGTCCTGGGAAGCCTATTTTCTCACATTAAATTTTGATACAATAGCCTAACAAAGTGCATCTATTTATAATAATTCATGCAAAACAATGATATTTTATTGTTTAATAACATGTTTCTACTCTATTTTGGGTATTAAAGTTGAATATTTAGACTTAAATTAATTTATAAACAACAAAATCTAGGATAGGTAAAATTTCAGTATTTTACATTTCGGGGTATATACTCCGATAGGCTATAGCGGAAAAGTGAACATGTTGACATATAATTTTTCTTGTGTCTATCCATTGCTGGGATGTATGTCTATCTTATAAAAGCAGATTTTTAAAGATTGAGCCCATTTAGTGCCGAGTATAGAACTACCTTAATAGTATTGTGTAAACTTTAAGAAGCAATTTTCAGGAACTTTATTGACTGACCTTAACTGTATCTTGTATACCGCTGTTGTTTCATTTTTGTTGAATTTTGTTATTGTACATAATGATGTACTTATAGAAATGTATTAAATACATTATATATCATAATCACTTTAAGTGTCAATGTCTTCAGAGAAGAAAGATAAAGATACCTGAATGTTTTGGAGGCATATGGCAGAGAATGCATACATAGTTTTCTCCATCTGCAATGCTTCTTCCAGAATAGTGAAATGTACAACTCCTGGGTCAAGTGTTAAAACAGGGCCCTTATGAATGATCATGTATGGAAATTTTAAACCTGTTGTAGGGAAGTTATTCCCCTTTGTTTATTTACTTATACAAGGTAGCATTACACAAGTGACCATTAAGGCCGTGGGGTCTTTTGTTTCTCCCTAAAAGAGGACATGGCCATTCATTTCTAAAAATTTGAATCCTTTAAGTCATACAAACTTTGTGCACAGACTGATTGAAATTTACTTAAAAGTTCTTCTAGAGAAGAGATTGAGTTAAAGAATTAAAATATGATAAGTAAAACAGGCAGACATACAAATTTTGATCAGAAAAGCTCACTTCAGCTTAAGGTAGGTCGCGGGTTTGCTTTTGTCATCAATTTTGGTACACAATTTTGACGATTCGAGCGGCTGTTTTGTGCACGTGATTATGACGTCAGTTACGTCACAAAGGCAACGTTGCGTTGTTTCCCGCTTAATTCTCTGCAAAAGACTTCAAAGTCTCTACGAATCAAGTAGATTTAAAAAAGTGCATGCCAATGTACGTAAACCTCGTACATATTTTATAATTAAATTTCAGTCTGAACTCTGATGTGATTATATGTAATGCCCTAGGAAAAATTAAATACAATACCTCGTACATATTTTATAATTAAATTTCAGTCTGAACTCTGATGTGATTATATGTAATGCCCTAGGAAAAATCATTAGTAAGTATTACTAAACTGCTAAAAGTCAATCAGAATAAGTTAGCGTGAAAGTTATGGTATGCAGAAAGAAAGTTGTCATAAATAAAATTATTTAGCGGAAAACTTCAGGGGTTGTATTTTGGGCACGTTATTTGCAACTCCGGGGAACATGCGTATTGCGTCATGACTTCCAATCAAAGCCGGGACGAAAATATGCGTATAATTTTCAGGATGGAATCAATCCTTAACACTAAAAATGCATTAAATTTAATACATGTACTTTCCTCTTTTTTCTTATTATCATCATCACTATTATTAAGTATTGTTTGGTTATTCGCAATAAGTTAAATGACATCCTTTAGATCTTGCATATTCCAAATGTCAAAATATTTATATTCGTACGGTAGTACGGTTCAACAAATGACGTTGTAGACATAAATAACGCCATAAACGCAACATTTCAGCAATGTAAAAGGAAACTTTGAAATTTTTTAGCGAAAAATCTAGCGAGAAGACGTATTGATTTTTTTATATCAATAGTTTTGATTTTACCTCATCTTGACATTTTGAAATTCCTGACTAATTCGTCTACATCTTTAAAAAGTTATCCAACCTTTTTAAAAGAAACTATTTTCACAAAAATGACTTAAAGACGTCATTTTTCCATATATTTCAATAGTAAAGCGTAAAAAATGTACTAATAACAATACCGCATTTTAAGTGATATAGCATTAAAACTACTTAGGCAAATTTTATAAAAATTGCAGATGATACGCTGTAAATTCTCAGGAACATTATATCAAATTTTCAGGATATGTTTTCTCGTAAGATTTTTTATGCAGTAAACCCGCGACCTACCTTAAGACCCAGCAAATAAAACCCAAAAAATGAAAAAATAAACAAAGTGGACTTTAAAAATATTTGAACAAATTTAACTATAAATAGACATGGTACAAATCATATCTGATCAGTTCATTGTTTAATTCTGAAGACAGAATCATTTCCATACATGTGGATTATCACAAAACAATGAAAAATGTCAGCTGCTACAAACATTTCATGAATACTCAGTGTTCAAATGTTAAAAACTCAGATCACAGAAAACTTTACTGGCTGGCCCTCAATTCCCCCATCCTGTTCAGGGCACTGCCTGCCACGAACCACTCAATCTGTCCTTCATTCATAGAGTGATTCAGTTCAATCATATCTGAGGATCCATCAGCATGAGTAATTTTGCATTGCACAGGCTACAATATAATGAAAAAGACTGAATGGTACTAAAATCATGAGTAACAGTAATTGATTCTCATTTACTTCAATATATCCTTGGTATTCATGTTTTTGGGTTACCAAACATCAGTTGGATGAATGATAAGGTACAAGAACATATACATTAAAATACTGTGAAATCACTAATTTTCGTTGGGGTTTAATTTTCGTTGTTTTTGTGGTATGAAGAGACCCATGAATTCATGCCCACCACGAAATGTTAATTTTCATATGCAAAACTACTAAAAAGATCTTCATCCACGAAATCAAATCCCTACGAACCAACATTTTACAATAGTAAATTTATTGCTGTCTAGTAATTTGTGTCATTCGTCACTCACCTTTCCTGGTTTCAAGTCTTTCAATCCTAACAGAGAGATACGATCTGTGGGCTGGATCTTGTCATAGTCTGATGGATTGGCAAATGTAAGGGGCAGCATGCCTTGTTTCTTTAGATTTGTTTCTGCAACAAATGAAATGGAGTTCACAAGTCAAGAAAATATCCATACAGCATTACAACTGAAATAACAGTTAAAGCAATATCAGCTGCATTTTTGAGAATTTTATTTTGCTGGTAAAATTTGTTATTATGATTTGTCTGTATGTAATCTGAGCCCTTAAGATCAATAAAACCAAACTAAAGTTTAAAAATATTTCAGAAGAAATATTTCTGTACAACCGAATATACAGTAATATATAAGAAATCATTATTGTACAGGACGACAATAATACAATTTTGCTTCAATCAAAGCTTATAAAAAGTTCTTTCATAGCAAATATTAACAACAGAAGTTTATAAATGTTCTATTTTTCTGTCACTGAAATAAAAAATTACAAATTTATAATTTTTTTTCCGATGTCAAACATGCAGCTCATATTGCTTTAAGATACATGTCACTTAATATTTTTGTTTCAATTTTACTAAAATAATTTACCGTGGATTCTGGCAAAGCTTTTAACAATAATGGCCCTTCCTCCTAAATGCCTGGGTTCCAGAGCAGCATGTTCTCTGCTACTTCCTTCTCCATAGTTCTCATCACCCACCACACACCAGGGAACATTGTTAGCCTACATATGTGTTAAGAATGTCAATATATATTTACATGTACTTAAATGTGGAGCAGAAAATGAGTGAACAAAACAATGTTCAACGAAAACACCTACTTTGTAATATCTGGCAACTTCTGGTACTGTTCCAAACTGACCAGTTAACTGATTCTTCACATTATTAGCTTCACCATTCTCAATATTTGTAGCTCTAGATAAAAAAAAAATGTAAATGCATATACACGTCTATACATTAAATTTCCAAAAGAAAAATAATACACTAATAATGATTTTTAAAACCAACTTGAGAACTGAGCGAAAAAAATTATTGACCATTTCAACATTTCATATCC